CACTCCATCTTTCATGATGGGCAATTAGCTAGTGTCATGATAATCCCTGTCAAAGTTCAATTTTTTGTTGTTGCCCTTTTTATTACTTGCTCTGGGGCAAGGGCCCACATTTTCTACCTCTTCTATTTGCTGCCAAAGCTGTCATTAAAACTTGCTGCTGCAGACAAAACATGGGCTTTCCCACCCTTGCTATGATGGAGATGAGGAATAAATGATTCATACGACCATTAAAATTTATTCTTCTTACTTGAATAGGAAAGAAGACATGTTGTAAAGCTGCCTTTTGTATTGTTTTAGTTGTGATATTTCTGTATTGGAGAGCTGGCACTTGCTTACCAATGAGTGACAATTTGCATGTGTTAGTTTCTCCCAGTGGCTAGTGCTTTTTGTGTTTAAAGAGACCACCCACATAGTTTTTTAGTCTCCTAAGTATAAGCATGCATTATGGATAGTATGCATTAAATATTTTAAGAAAATATACTTGCCTATAATTGTTCTGTGAAGGTATAAACTAAAATAGATCCACACATGACCATTCACCTTCCTGGCAAATGTGGTGATACATGTTTACGTATCTGAATCAGTAAAAGATCTGATGTATGCTGGTATGATAACTGCATTCTTTCACGGAGGTGAAATGTAGCATGTGCTTATGATGTAGTGAGTAGCTACTTTCAGAACTTTCCCTGGAGTTCCTGCCCTTTATTGATGGGTCCATGGTATGTACCTGTGAGCTCTTTTGAAAAAAAAATCCACAACAAGTAAATAATTTTCCTTTGTGTAGTCCTCCCTCTGGCAGTATCTACCTTTCAGTTATAGCAAAAGTACTTTTAAGGAGGCCTTCTGGTTGTCAAAACTTTTAGAAGACACTTTACAAACACTAATTAGTAAATGTTGCTCTATGTGCCTTTAAGGGGGCATTATCAAATTTAATAATATTAATTTGGTACCATAAATTGAGAGCATAGGTTGGTTAAACTTGTGGAATACTTTTATAAAGTGTGGAATACTTTTATAAAGAGTGATTTATGAATTATTTTCTGTTTCACTGACAGTTTACTAACATCTATGCAATAATTGCATTAACTGTTTATGTGGAAAAAATCAACATAAGGAAAATTATTTGATACTTTTTAGCTGCCTTAATTACAGGTGCAACATCTGGGGAGAAAAATGAGTACCTGCTTAAGACTTTTATCTTTGTGGTGCTCATGAATTCCTTCCTGATATTTATGGCAGATGATGACTTGGGGGTTGCTCCTTTCCTCATCTCATGTTTAGGTCTTGTCCACATGGGAAAATTAATCAGAATAGCTATTGTGGAATAAGGGTATAGTTTCATAGTAGTTTGGGGTCAGAAGGGACCTGAACAGATCATCTAGTCTAACCCCCCACCACTGGCTGGAGCACACGCTGGGATCACACGACCCCAGACAGGTGTTCATCCCACCTCTTTTTGAATTTACCCAAGTTAGGAGTGAGGACCACTTCCCTAGGAAGTTGGTTCCAGATCCTAGCCACCCTAACAGTGAAATAGTGCCTCCTAACCTCTAACCTGAACCTATTCTCCAGCAGCTTCTGACCATTGTTCCTTGTCACCCCAGGTGTTGCTGGGGGGAATAGGGCCCTTCCTATTTGCTGCTGATCTTCCCTAATGAGTTTGTAGGCAGCCACCAAATCCCCCCTCAGCCTCTGCTTGCTGAGGCTGAACAGGTTCAGGTCCCTCAGCCTCTCCTCATAGGGCCTGCGCTGTTGGCCTCCAACCAAGCGGGTAGCCCTCCTCTGAACTCTGTCACGGCAAGCCACATTCTTCTTAAAGTGCGGTGTGCAGAACTGGACGCAGTACTCCAATTGTGGCCTGACCAATGTCGCGTAGAGGGGGAGTATCACCTCTCTGGACCAGCTTGAGATGCATCAATCAACAGTAACAGAAACGTGTAACTAAAAAAAAAAGCTTTCCTCCTCATAAACTTCTGTATGCCTATCTCCTCTGTAAAGCTGTGTGTGTGTGTGTGTGTGTGTGTGTGTGTTTCTTTAAAGGAATCGTGGGAAAGTTAACAACTTTGTCTATGTGAACTTAAAATTCCTTGTGACATTGTTTGCTGGGACACGTCCAATCTGTCTACAGGTGGAAAACATGAATATCTAATAGTAAGATATTGTATGAAAAAGGAAAACTATTCCTTTATGGAAGATTGCCAAACTTAGATTGAATTTCTTCACTCTTTCCTAAGTAGTTTGACTTTCTTGTTATAAGTGTGGCCCACCCATTTTTAAACTTTATAGACAATCACTTTCTGCTGACTTCAGAATTTCTACAGAATTATGAGTATCTTTATTTTTACAATCTACAGGTGCAACTTGTTAATTTTAGCTGAAGCACTCATTCTTCACCTGGGTTGTTATTTTTGTAATTGCAGTGTTTGTTTATTTTTAAAGAACATAGCACAACATATTTAGCCTTAAATAATTAATGTGGTGTGAAAAAAGGAAAGCATCAATATAATAGTGACAATTGAACTGAATTCACTGCATCCAAAACAGAATGGTACCAGTTTGTTATCTGAGAAATGAAGTAATCCCAGTCAATAGAAGCCCTAAAAAGGGTCAAGTGAAAAATAACCCACTTATAATTTTCCTTGGGTGGTATTCAGTGATTTTGGAAGCTTTGGAGTAGATAGGACCAGCCATTCTTGAGTTTTAAATGAACATGCATACATATTAGGGCTGTGCGAAGCTTCGGGTGCTGATTCAATTTGGAGGAGATTTGGCTTGATTTGGCCACCGAATCTCCGAATCCGAATCAAATCAGGGGACCAATTAAAAGGTCTGAATTGATTTGAAGCTCTCCAAATCGATTTGGAAAAGATTCTGAGAGTTTCAGTGATTCAGGCAGTCTCCACTAGCTGCAGCAGGGAGCTGGATCCGGACTCCCAGCTGGTAAGCAGGGGATGGGGTAGGGGGGGCCTAGAGGAGTGGGGAAGGGGACCATGGGGGGACTCCTGCCAGGCCTCATCTCCTGCCTGCTCCCCCAACCCCCCTCCCCCCCCATGGCTGTCCCATCCGGCCCCAGCTCCCAGTTGTTTAAAAAAAAGCCTCTACTCACCAGGTGCTGCTGAGTGGGGCGGGCGATGCC